GGGCTCCCTGTAGGGCTGGGGGAGGCCTATGGGGAATTTTGGGGGGGATCTGTAGGGGTTGGGGGTCTCGGTGTGGGGCTGGGGGCACAGAGCTCCTACGGGGGAGGTGGGGGGACATCTGTGGGGCTGGGGGAGGCCCTATAGGGGGCAGTGCGTCCCTATGGGGAAGTTGGGGGTCCCGGTTTGGTGGTGAGGGGGTCCCTTTAGGGGGGTCAAAAGTCCCCATAGGACCCCCTAGGCCCCGCCGACAGCGGGGGGGGGGGGGGGGGGGGGCCCCGGGGGGGGGCAAAACACCCCCCGATCGCCCCCATCCCCCCCCAAAACCCCCCCCCCCCCCCCCCCCCCCGCAGTCTGCCTCGGCTCCACGCAGTGCCAGCGCTGCCCCATAGAGCCCCATAGGATCCCTTAGGATGGCTGTAGGACTGCATAGGACCCCATAGAGCCCCATAGGACCCGGTAGGACCCCATAGGATGGCTGTAGGACCCCATAGAGCCCCATAGGACCCCATAGAGCCCCATAGGACCCCATAGGATGGCTGTAGGACCCCATAGAGCCCCATAGGACCCCGTAGGCCCCTCATAAACCCCCCTCCCCCCCCGCAGTCCGCCTGGGCTCCACGCAGTGCCAGCGCTGCCTGATCACGTTCCCGGACGCCGCGTACGCCCTGCGGCACGCCAAGCGCGAGCACCCACAGGACTTCGTGCGGGCGGCCCTGCGGGGGGCTCAGTTCGTCTGCTTCGTCTGCGGCCGCCCCTTCCCCTCCTCCCGCGATCTCCTCCGCCATCAGCGCTCCCACGGCCCCCCCGCCCCCCCCGCGTACGCCTGCACCGAATGCGGCCGCGCCTTCGCCCGCGAGGGGGCGCTGCACCGCCATTACATCCAGCACGCGAGGGGGGAGCTGTGAGATGGGGGGGGGAGGGGGAGGGGGAAGCGGGGAGGGGGAATAAAGCGGTGCTGAAATGGTTCTGTGTGTGGATTTGTGGTGGGTCGGGGGTCCTGGATGGGACCTGGGGGTCTTTGACGGTCCTAAAGCGGAACTCGGGGTCCCCAGGGGCTCTTTGGGGGTCCTGAAGGGGATCTGACGGGTCCTGAAGGGGCTCTTTGGGGGTCCTGAAGAGGTCCTAAATGGGACCTGGGGGGTTTTGGGGAATTCTGTAGGGGAATTCGGGGTCTCCAAGGGGTCTTCGAGGATCCTGAAGGGGCTCTTTGGGGGTCCTGAGGTGCCCCCAAGGGGTCCCTGGGGGTCTTTGGGGGTCCCTCCCGTGCTACGCCTGCACCGAATGCGGCCAAGCCTCCGGCCGCCAGGGGGCGCTGCACCGCCATTGCATCCAGCAGGCGAGGGGGGAGCTGTGGGGGGGGGGG